CAGACTAAAGCTGATGCCAATCGGACTGCGCTCGGGCGCGGCGGCCTCAGACTGACGCTGCAGGAGGATTGTGTATTATGTAAGCAGACTGTACAGACTGAAGCTCACCCTACTCTCACCACGCCCTGCTGTGGATGTCTTTTACACTGACTTTTTCACACACTCAACCATCCTGCTGATCTCCTCCATCCTGCTGATCTCCTCCATCCTGCTGATCTCCTCCATCCTGCTGATCTCCTCCATCCTGCTGATCTCCTCCATCCTGCTGATCTCCTCCATCCTGCTGATCTCCTCCATCCTGCTGATCTCCTCCATCCTGCTGATCTCCTCCATCCTGCTGATCTCCTCCATCCTGCTGATCTCCTCCATCCTGCTGATCTCCTCCATCCTGCTGATCTCCTCCATCCTGCTGATCTCCTCCATCCTGCTGATCTCCTCCATCCTGCTGATCTCCTCCATCCTGCTGATCTCCTCCATCCTCCATCCTGCTGATCTCCTCCATCCTGCTGATCTCCTCCATCCTGCTGATCTCCTCCATCCTGCTGATCTCACAGTTGTGCACTTTGATGTGTGATGTCCAGCCAGACATTTTTTTTTTAAAATAGAAATTAATTCAAGGACCAAGTAGTTGACAAGGCCTTAATCGTGAGGAAGAGCCTGCTGGATTTAAAGTGGGCGGCTCGGTCTTTTCATGTTCGTTAGGAAAGAATTATAAATATATATAAATACATATAAATATAGACATATATTGTAACTGTAAAATAACAGTCTTAAAGAAACTATGCCAACAAATGCCTTGTACTATACGGCACTGCCGAGGTTACGTTCTTTTGCAAAACCTTTGTCACTGTAACTTTACAGCAGCTTCTTGGAGTCTGGTGGAAGCGCGTCCAGAGTGAGAATAAAGATGTCCAGCCCCACAGCGACGGGAACCATCAATGTGCTGCAAAATGACCATAAGAAAATAACAGTTTGAATTCAGAAGTATTTCAATGTATTTGACACAAACTAGTTTAAAATATAAAGATTCTGAGTCAAATCTGAAATAAATCTGTTTCAGTGTTAAATGCGGCTTCTTCCATTGGCATCAGTCAAAGATCGAGGCTTCTCACTTCAAACACTTTTTCACTTTATCTGTGTGAATCTTTTGTTTTGGATTTGAGTGTCGTCCACTGTAAACGTTGGGACTGTGCGCACAATCAGATCTCACACGATGACTATGCAAACCACTGCGACAACGTGCCCGACACGCCTTCATTTCAAACACTTGCACCGTTCACTTTTGACCCGAAAACCCCAAAAGAGCCTGTGCGTGATCGACTGTTTTAGATCTTTACAAACACATTTTGTGAACTGTCTGCAGCACTCTGCATTTATTACTGCCCTGAAGTCAAGTCAACATTTTAAAGCATCTCTTTTCACTGCCTTAAGCAGCACGTTTGCAAGAATCACGACATTCGTAAGAGTTAGCCTGAGTTTGTCACAGTAGCCTGAGCCAATTTAACCGCACTAGCAAGTTTAGCAACATTTGCAAGAGTTACCCCAAATATAGCCATAATAGCAAGAGTAGCAACATTAGCCATGGTTAGTGATATTAGCAAGAGTTAGATTAAGTTTGCCATATTAGCGTTAGCAAGGGTTAGCCATATTGGCAAGAATACATTTTACAACAAAAATAAAAACAAGAAATAACTTGAAAACAGGAACAAAATTGTTTTTATTTTCGTAAATATATAAAAAAAATAATAATAATAATTTGGTAAGAAGTTAATTTAAAAGGGCAGACATCTTTGAGACCAGTTCTATTAGTTATACTGAGTTAGACACGTTAGCAAGAGTTATCCTGAGGAGGCCATCTGAGACAAACTTTTGATACAATTAGTATGTTTATTTTAGCATCAAACTTTTTGTTTGCAACATATCTGCACATGGCATTTTGAACAAGATCAGGTTCAGGCTCTTTCACACTATTCTCAATATTTGTTAACGCGACACGATAAACTGTTCCAAACTACTGACATGCTTTTTATTCTCAGAGCTGAGCGCACGCAGCTCCACTAGCACCGCTAGCACCGCTAACACCGCTAGCACCGCTAACACCGCTCAATGTGAAAACCCACTCATGTTGTCATGTTATTTATTTGCGCTACAATGTAATTACCTTCTGAAAAACACAAAAAAACCACACAAAAAAAACATTTTAGTTCCTATTTATTCGCGTCTTAAAGTGTCTTAAACGTTATCTCAATGGACTGACGCGCTTTACCGGCTGCCTATGCGAGAGAGTGAAAAAAAGATTTAAAAAATGCCGGATACACGCTTTTTTCGGCTTCACCGTTATAACGTCGTATGCAATCTTTCTCCTATCATGCAAATAAGCTGCGGTACAAGGCAGAGAAGCGGGAACATTATGCAATCCCTGTGGCGGGGCGGCCCTGTGGCGGGGCGGCCCTGTGGCGGGGCGGCCCTGTGGCGGGGCGGCCCTGTGGCGGGGCGGCCCTGTGCAGGAGGCGGCCCTGTGCAGGAGGCGGCCCTGTGGCGGGGCGGCCCTGTGGCGGGGCGGCCCTGTGGCGGGGCGGCCCTGTGGCGGGCCGGCCCTGTGCAGGAGGCGGCCCTGTGGCGGGGCGGCCCTGTGGCGGGCCGGCCCTGTGCAGGAGGCGGCCCTGTGGCGGGGCGGCCCTGTGGCGGGGCGGCCCTGTGCAGGAGGCGGCCCTGTGCAGGAGGCGGCCCTGTGGCGGGGCGGCCCTGTGGCGGGGCGGCCCTGTGCAGGAGGCGGCCCTGTGGCGGGGCGGCCCTGTGCAGGAGGCGGCCCTGTGGGGGGGCGGCCCTGTGGCGGGGCGGCCCTGTGCAGGAGGCGGGGAGGGTTTTGTACAGCATTTCAGCCCGAACACACGTTATTTTGTTACGACTGACTGTTTTTCTAAGTGTTCAAGGGTTCAACGGGGAGTGGTTTGTAATCGTGACGGAATCTTTGGCATTATCAATGTGAAGACGTACAGGGGGAGGGAGGGGAGGGAGGGGAGGGGCAAAGACAGTCACGCGTGTTTGTACTGACCTGTAAATAGCACATCATATCAGTGATTGTTTATTGTAAATATATTTGAACTTTGTGAAAGAGACTGTTTCTGTCTGCAATTATTTTGTCGCTATGAATCCATTAATCATACATGTGTTTCCGAACATGTTCAACACCACAATCCACCATCAATACAACATAACTTTGTACATACATAGACAATGCAAACATGCTATAGCTCAATGAAGCCCAATGGGGAAGGTCTTGCTCTGGCCTCTATTGACTTACATGGAAACGTAAACTCCTCAGTGACTTTTTGTGCCACACTCACCATTTTGGGCATAAACTATTTCATACCCTTCAAATTGGCTTCTTCCACAACAATGCTGACACTATGGTGATGTCACACATTAGTTCACTCCTGGTACATACCCTATGGTACACACATGTTTAGTGCATGCAACCAACTCAACCCAAACATTACGATTTAGTTCAAAAGTCTCCAGTAACACAACAAAAGAACAGTAGAAAAGTCAAAACCCTGAAATGTAAACAATAATCAAGTGGTGTTTAATTAAATAGGCTTTAATACTAGTTTTTAAAAAAAGACCACAAACTGGAAAGCCTGGAATTGTATATTCTGCTCCCTGGTTGTGTTCTAAAAATATGAAATCCTTGAAGAAGCAGCTGCATGTTTTAAGGCTGTAAAACTCCTCACACACACTTTATACACTTCTAACCACTTGAACTCATTGGTTCTGGCTGCAGTGAGGTATTTCAAAGAAAAACACAAATGAATCCAAATAACAACAGTAAAAAAAGAGCTCTAATGCTGGAAACTGACGTGTTTGGAGTAAGCAGTGCCCCCAGTGGATAACATCAGCAACTGCAGCAACTCAACAAACCTCATCTAATCTATACCACCTTTAAAATATTATCAATAAATGATCATAACTTAACAACTATTTTATAAAGGCAATATGAATGAGCTGTAGGTTTTTACTTATGAAGTTTTTAGTGGTAGAGGAAACTTACGCAGACACAGGGAGAACATGCAAACTTCAATCAGAAAGGCACAGGGATTATGACCCAGGATCTCAGCCGCCATGTCCATCACTAAGTAAATAAGTAATCTAACTCATGCTTGTCAACCGTTGGGGGATCACAAGCATATTAAAGCTGGGGTACCTAAGAGGCCAAACATACATGTTAAAACTCATTTTGGGGGTTTGATAGTCCGGTACCCCAGCTTTAATTATGAATATGTTCATAATGCTGCTAAAATCTTTGAAAAGTCAAACTCAATCTGGAGCTTCTGAAGTACAGAACAACAGCCGGAGTCTTTGTGCAGCTTAGGCCCTGTAGTTTTGGCCTCTGGTGACTTATTTGCTCTAATTATAAGTGGGAACAATATCAGCACAGACAAAGATTGTGCTGCACAGTGGCCAAAATGTTGTTTGTTTGGGCTTCGGCTCTACAGACGTAAAGCTCCAGATGAAATTCATGTAAAATCACTATAAATCTCCCTGACTCAGGTTGCCAGATATGCAGACGAATCCAGCTGGGATCATAATATCTGAATAGACAAGAGTTTTGTCAACAAGAAAGCAATAACCAACACCTTTTTCACAAAGGCCCCGATAGAAATTCCTTGTTTTGTTAATAATGATTTGAGAATCATTCTCCATTGACTCCCACTGATGTCTAATGTCGTTGTGTCCTTGGGTACGACACTTAACCCCACTTTACCTGAAGCCCCCGCTGAAAGATAAGATAAGATAGACTTTATTGATCTCACACACGAGAAATTTAGAAGATCAAGGCTGTGTCACTGACAGAACAGTCAGCCTCCTGTGGACTCTCCACCTGCTGGAGGATCAGTGAGGGGCTGGTGGATGGAAAATGGATGGATTTGAGATTTTGAGATCTTTTTTAGTTCTGCTAGGAGCAGTGAGATTAGTGTGTTCTGGAAACTCGGATCACGGACTTTGATTGGTGAAACGGTGGAGGGTGGGAGATCGAAATGAAAACAAAAACAACATTTAGGGGCTGTAAGACTAATTTTGAAATTTAAATATCTGGGCTGAACTTTTATCAGTTAAAGACATTCAAAAAGACCATGTTTTATAAATGCCTGTTGGCATATTAGTGCCATTTAATGTTGACGTGACATTATAATCTTACATATTGCTACTTTAAAGATGTTTGTGGCTGACACAAAGTGGAAGAAACTGGTGGACAGAGACCACAACAAGACTTCTACACTACTGTTCAGAAGTTTGGGGTCACCCAAGTGTTTTCCATGAAAAGTCACACTTATTCACCACCGTACGTTGTGAAATGAATAGAAAATAGAGTCAAGACATTGACAAGGTTAGAAATAATGATTTGTATTTAAAATAAGATTTGTTTTACATCCAACTTTGCTTTCGTCAAAGAATCCTCCATTTGCAGCAATTACAACATTGTGCCAAAAACCAGACATTTGCAGTTAGAATAGTCATTTACCACATAAGCAAAGTATAGAGTGTATTTCTTTACAGTTAAGACTAGTTTAAAGTTATCTACAGCTTTTCCTTCAAAAATAAGGACATTTCAATGTGACCCCAAACTTTTGAACGGTAGTGTAAATGTAAAAAGGAAAAATATTCAACCGTTGGAAATTTCCCGCTGGCAAATGAGTGGGGTATAGTTTTTATGTCAAGATGTCTATTTTGTTATAGTCACATATAGACATTCAAAACATCTGCGCTTGTTCTGCACTTTGGAGACACTTGAGAATTAGGAGCATCCCACAAGAACAGACGTTTTTTTGAAAATCCTGTATTTCAGACTAACCGCCTCATAGTTTAGAATCGGGATATAATTGTACGGCAGTGTTCCATGTCAAATGTTGAAACTGATACAGACATGAAACTTTTTGTTTTTAACAACAAAGTCAAATCAAACTGTTTTTACAGAAAAAACCAAGCGCAAAATTAAATATATTCTACATTATTCTGACCAATAGGTGATTTTGGTGCATTTCCAAAGGCACACCAAACAGGAGAGAGACCAGCGAGAGAGACCAGCGAGAGAGACCAGCGAGAGAGACCAGCGAGAGAGACCAGAGAGAGAGACCAGAGAGAGAGACCAGAGAGAGAGACCAGCGAGAGAGACCAGAGAGAGAGACCAGAGAGAGAGACCAGCGAGAGAGACCAGAGAGAGAGACCAGAGAGAGAGACCAGCGAGAGAGACCAGCGAGAGAGACCAGCGAGAGAGACCAGAGAGAGAGACCAGAGAGAGAGACCAGCGAGAGAGACCAGAGAGAGAGACCAGCGAGAGAGACCAGCGAGAGAGACCAGCGAGAGAGACCAGCGAGAGAGACCAGAGAGAGAGACCAGAGAGAGAGACCAGAGAGAGAGACCAGCGAGAGAGACCAGCGAGAGAGACCAGAGAGAGAGACAAGGAGAGTGATCAGAGAGAGACCAGCGAGAGAGACCAGAGAGAGAGACCAGAGAGAGAGACCAGCGAGAGAGACCAGAGAGAGAGACCAGCGAGAGAGACCAGCGAGAGAGACCAGAGAGAGAGACCAGAGAGAGAGACCAGCGAGAGAGACCAGAGAGAGAGACCAGAGAGAGAGACCAGCGAGAGAGACCAGCGAGAGAGACCAGAGAGACTAGAGAGAAAGAAAACATGTCGTAATACATGGCTTCACACAATCCTCTCACATTTCTTTCTTCTCACACTATTTTGACCAATCATGTGATTGGTCAAAATAGATCTCCCAAAGGGAAATCTTTTTTTTTTCCAAATCCCAACATTTTCATTTTACCAAATTATTTCATATTCTAAAACATTAAATGACAAAATAAATATTCTCAAAATCATGCATCCAGTGATGTGAGGTGTTTTCAGGTCTACAGAGTATTCTTGTGTGAAAAAAGTACTGAACAGAACACGTTTTTGTGAAATTGCCCCAAAATTGTCCCTTTATCCATCCGCTCTCTCACTTCTCTGCCTCTGTTTAAAAATGCTCTGGTCCAACACCTCCAGAACCCAGTGTTATTGAGCATATGAACCAAAATTATATTTAAGGATATGTACTACTAGAAAAACTAGCTGTAATCATTGTTAATTATAATAGAAATTCTATTCATAACAATCAGTGTGTGTGTGTGTGTGAGTGGGTGTGTGTGTGTGTGTGTTTGTGTGTGTGTGAGTGGGTGTGTGTGTGTGTGTGTGTGTGTGTGTCCTTTGTCTTTTGCGTTTGTATTATTTTCTATGAATTCTGTAATATTGTCTACTGCATCAGTCATTTTGTGCAATTTTGAGGACGCCCTCGAAAACGAGATGTATCATATCTAGGGGCTTATCCTCCAAACAAATAAATAAATAAATTACAAATTAAAATAAATAATTTCAAACATGATTTTGCCCCCTGCTCTGACCTCTTGTCCACAGAAGCGCTCGGTGGTCGAAATTGACAGTTTGGCCTCTCTTCGCTGTGGGGGCGGGGCAAAGACCAACTGCTCGGAGACCAAATGGACCTTCAACAGCCAAACAGATGTGTTCTACTCAGGGAGCAGAGATCTACCCGGGACTTACAAGCAACCTCTGGTCCTGGTGCAGTCTGGGACTGTGAGTCCAGGTCCTAAAGCCGGCAGACTGAACCTGACTGAGTCCTGTGATCTGCTAATCCAGAGAGTGAGATCTGATGATGCTGGAGTCTACACCTGCTCTCGGATCAACCATTCCTCACTCTCCAACCGCTCTGTGGTCTTCCTGTCTGTGGTCTATTGTAAGTATCAAATATATAAATATGAATATAGACCCCTTTACTGTTGGTGAGAGCCACGCCAATATTCTAATATTTAAATCCACACAATAGACAATTAACAGTACAGATTATCAATAAGTGTCTGGAGGTATGAGATTATGAAGTGACAGAAATGTAAAGATACATTATTCGTCCCACAGTGGGGAAATGTCAATGTTGCAGTGCACATACAGGACAGTAGAAAGAGCACGCCAAGCCTCGGTGATCCAAGATGGCGTCCTTTTCAAATGAATGACGTGTGGGACATACACAGGGACCGAAAGATTAGCAGAACTTTGTCCTCCCGGTTCTGCGCAGTGGAAAAGCTCCCCCCATGATGCAATGTGCCAAATACGCATGTGTGGCTCTCATGCACGTGCACAGAGGGGCTCGGCCGCGCTTTGACCAATCAGAGCCATCAGAGCAGCAGATTAGAGCGGAGTCAGGGCGGGAAGGAAACAAGCAGAGTTTGTGGATTTGAAGAAAACCGAAGGATTTCAGAAGAAAAAAAGGAACAAGGGACCCTAAAATCCCCACAAAATCCGACCTTTATGAAAGCTTCTCTGTCACCTGAGGTCAAGCTGTTTTAGTTTACATTGAGTTCTATAGAAGTTGTTTCTGGGTGGCCAACGTGAATTTAGTCTGCAGTACCACGGGCGCCCCCTGTGCCCATGGGTGGGAAAGCTGTAAGCTAGTAATACCCTATCCAGATATTATAATACATCCATGGAGCACACAGGGAGCACACTAAAAATACAATATAAGCAGCTCATATGTTTCAAAGCTAGCCAGTCCTCCTCCTCTAGCAGACACCAAGACACCAGCCCATCCTCTGCCTCCTGAGCACCACAGGTCTGTAGTCATTAAGTTCAGTGATTCGGGTCTTCTTGGAGACAAGGACAATGATAGAGCAGGCCACGACTCCAACGAGGTGTTTGTGAAGACATCATCATAGACTGTGGAGACTTCAAGCATCTTGGATTGTGTTGTGTACTTCTCATTCTGCTTCCAATTTTAAATTTTACATTTTCTAGTCTCATCTGACCAAAGCACCTTCTTCCACATGGTTGCTGTGTCCCCCATATGACTTCTGTCAAACTTCAAACATGATTTCTTATCACCTCCTTTCAATAATGGCTTTCTTCTCACCACTCCACTCCATAAAGGTGTAGTGTAGAGTACGCCTGGTACGCCTGGTAGGTGTCCCATGTACAGATTCCCCCATCTCAGTACTTTGCAACTCTTCCAGAGTCATCATGGAGCACTTGGTTGCCTTTCTGACCAGATCCTTGTTTGATCTGTTAGTTTAGGTAGACGGCCGTGTCTTGGTAAGTTTGGAGTGGTACCATACTCTTTCCATTTCCAAATAAAGGATTGAACAGTGCTCCATAAGATGTTCAACTTGTGGGAAATCTTGGAATAACTTAGCACTACTTTAAACCTTTATCCCTGACTTCTGACCTCTCTGATGTGTTGTCCTCGACACTCTGAGCTCACGCTATTTGCAGTCCAGGAACTGTATCATATAAAATGTTCAAGCTCAGAATCTCGCACCGCCTTTCATGCAATCACTTTTTTGATATAGGTGTCTGTACTTGTATTCATATTATCGTAGAGGATGAGGAGCGACTCGCACAAAGTGCCAATCAGATGCATGTGTAAAGCCTAACTCTTCTTTGCAGGGAACTTTGCAGGGAGTGGGTCACGGTATGGAAACGAGGAGTCCACACAATCATGTTCCGTGACGCCATTCAGCATCCGCTGTGGCTTCTCTGTGAAGTGGCTGGTCCAGGGCAGTGGTGACTTCAACTTGTGGACAGACTCGTGTGGGACTGGGATCCAATTCTTCGGTGCCTCTCCAGGCGTGTTGCAGTGTGAAGTAACAGACCTCAACAGCAAACAGGTCTATTACTTCAGATGGGGTTCAGGTGAGTGTCTGCTCAACTCATTCTTTTCTGTAGATATTCCTTTTTGCTGCTTCGCACTTAAACCTAACACATTTAATCTGATCATAGCAGCAGCAGACGTTTGTGTTTGGGGCAGAGCATGTAGAGTGCCTTGCGAAAGTATTCGGCCCCCTTGAACCTTTCAACATTTCGCCACATTTCAGGCTTCAAACATAAAGATATAAAAAATTAAAAAAATGTCAAGAATCAACAACAAGTGGGACACAATCGTGAAGTGGAACGAAATTTATTGGATAATTTAAACTTTTTTAACAAATAAAAAACTGAAAAGTGGGGCGTGCAATATTATTCGGCCCCCTTGCGCTAATACTTTGTAGCGCCACCTTTTGCTGCAATTACAGCTGCAAGTCGCTTGGGGTATGTCTCTATCAGTTTTGCACATCGAGAGACTGGAATTCTTGCCCATTCTTCCTTGCAAAACAGCTCGAGCTCAGTGAGGTTGGATGGAGAGCGTTTGTGAACAGCAGTCTTCAGCTCTTCCCACAGATTCTCGATTGGATTCAGGTCTGGACTTTGACTTGGCCATTCTAACACCTGGATACGTCTATTTGTGAACCATTCCATTGTAGATTTGGCTTTATGTTTTGGATCATTGTCCTGTTGGAAGATAAATCTCCGTCCCAGTCTCAGGTCTTTTGCAGACTCCAACAGGTTTTCTTCCAGAATGGTCCTGTATTTGGCTCCATCCATCTTCCCATCAATTTTAGCCATCTTCCCTGTCCCTGCTGAAGAAAAGCAGGCCCAAAGCATGATGCTGCCACCACCATGTTTGACAGTGGGGATGGTGTGTTCAGGGTGATGAGCTGTGTTGCTTTTACGCCAAACATATCGTTTTGCATTGTGGCCAAAATGTTCGATTTTGGTTTCATCTGACCAGAGCACCTTCTTCCACATGTTTGGTGTGTCTCCCAGGTGGCTTGTGGCAAACTTTAAACGAGACTTTTTTATGGATATCTTTGAGAAATGGCTTTCTTCTTGCCACTCTTCCATAAAGGCCAGATTTGTGCAGTGCACGACTGAGTGTTGTCCTATGGACAGACTCTCCCACCTCAGCTGTAGTTATCTGCAGTTCATCCAGAGTGATCATGGGCCTCTTGACTGCATCTCTGATCAGTCTTCTCCTTTTGGAGGGACGGCCGGGTCTTGGTAGATTTGCAGTGGTCTGATACTCCTTCCATTTCAATATAATTGCTTTGCACAGTGCTCCTTGAGATGTTGAAAGGTTCAAGGGGGCCGAATACCTTCGCAAGGCACTGTAGCACTTCACGAGGTGCTCTTTCACACAGTGTACAGAGGTGCTCTCTGTGTATTTGTTTGTTGTTAGAACATTGTTGCAGATGGGCCTAATGTTCACGGCCGTTTGTCAGTTTCTCAAAGTGAACATGAAACGTGCTGCATCCTTAAATAAACACACTTACTGAAGATGCTCATGACTTTGACTCCTGTATTGCACTCTCTCTCTCTCTCTGTCCAGTAGAAGTCAGAGCTCCGTGTGAGCGGCAGAGAGTGTGTGTCATATCTGTATCATATCTGCCACGTCTGTGTCCAGACTACAATACACACAGAACACAAGAGTCATGTGGTTTGGTCTCTGTTTAGATCCTTTCACTGACCACAAAGAGCTTTCAAATTGTCATTCTTGCAGGCCAAATCTATTGTTCATATTTTAGTGGTAAGGGAAACCGGAGAACCTGGAGGAAACCTATCCAGACACAAAGAAAACAGGCCTGGAGGTGGAATTTAACTCAGAAACTTTTCGCTGTGACGCACAAGCACTAACAACTTTTCCACCATGCCCACCCTGGACCGAGACCTAGTCTCTGGTCTGATCTCGGCCCTGGACTCGACCCTGGACACGGCCCTGATCTTTGCTCTACTGACTACTATAATGCTTTCTGAATGAAATGAACATTGAGCTAATACCCACAAAACAGTGAATCTTTGTTTGCTTTTGCAGATGGGAAACTTGTGAAGAACCAAATTCTGTTTTCAATCAATGGAACCAGAGCAGGAAACAGTACTGGAGATCGGCATGGTAAAAGCTTTCCCAGTCAGATCTGTGGAGCCGTCTTCTCATGTGTGGTTTCTCCTTCCAGACAGTGCCCCCGTCACTCTGAGGTGGCTGATGTTGGTACTGCGCTCAGTGGAGGTGGCTGTGGTGTCTGCAGTTCTGCTGCTGCTGCTCAGGGCCTGTGCCTCTGAGCGGGTGAGGAGCAGAGGAGGTTCCTCTGAGCGGGTGAGGAGCAGAGGAGGTTCCTCTGAGCAGGTGAGGAGCAGAAGAGGTTCCTCTGAGCAGGTGAGGAGCAGAGGAGATTCCTCTGAGCAGGTGAGGAGCAGAGGAGATTCCTCTGAGCAGGTGAGGAGCAGAAGAGGTTCCTCTGAGCAGGTGAGGAGCAGAAGAGGTTCCTCTGAGCAGGTGAGGAGCAGAGGAGATTCCTCTGAGCAGGTGAGGAGCAGAGGAGATTCCTCTGAGCAGGTGAGGAGCAGAGGAGGTTCCTCTGAGCAGGTGAGGAGCAGAGGAGATTCCTCTGAGCAGGTGAGGAGCAGAGGAGATTCCTCTGAGCAGGTGAGGAGCAGAGGAGGTTCCTCTGAGCAGGTGAGGAGCAGAGGAGGTTCCTCTGAGCGGGTGAGGAGCAGAGGAGGTTCCTCTGAGCGGGTGAGGAGCAGAAGAGGTTCCTCTGAGCAGGTGAGGAGCAGAGGAGATTCCTCTGAGCAGGTGAGGAGCAGAGGAGATTCCTCTGAGCGGGTGAGGAGCAGAGGAGGTTCCTCTGAGCGGGTGAGGAGCAGAAGAGGTTCCTCTGAGCAGGTGAGGAGCAGAGGAGATTCCTCTGAGCGGGTGAGGAGCAGAGGAGGTTCCTCTGAGCGGGTGAGGAGAAGAGGAGGTTCCTCTGAGCGGGTGAGGAACAGAAAGAGGTGCCTTTTAAGCCGGCACTTTCACCAATTTTGTTTTGCTGTCATGTAGACAACATGACAGCACGGCTGCCCTTCTAGGCAGAGTAGGCTCACGTCGCGGGGCATGGATACAAACCAGCAGAGGGCACTGTGGCTGCTGCTTCTGTGTAGTCTATGAAGAAGTGTAGAGGATAGTACATGATGGCCCTGTCCCAATACTCGCACTTCCACCCTCGCGCCCCTCATTTGCGCGTTCCCAATGATGGGTGCGAGTGCGTAGGGTGTCCCAATTCTCCAGGGCAGACATCTTGTGGGTTGAATGCCCTTCGACTCAGGTCTCTGTAACATAATATTGGCGGTGAATCAAGGACAATGTAGCTCAACTTTATGGGAATTGTTTTGTTAGCAAAGCTTCTAAATACGCCAACGCCAACAATAGGCATAGCTATATAGCTGAGCACCGCATCCGGGTGGAGAGAGTTGATAATTTTTGATTGTCTTTAGAAATCCAGATTGACCCATCAGATGCATTCATTTGTGGAGAAAACTTTCCTTAGCCACCAACTTAACAACATGTCTGTCCCTATCAATGCGCAGATATTTATTAGGAAATTGGCTCCAGCTAGCTTATGTTCAAATTGTTGATCTTTTTTTGACACAGTGATGATGTCACTCTTGGTCATCCTATTCCTAAAGTACGGTTCATGCTCATGATGACATGCTTTAAAATAGACAGATAAACATACTGCACTGCATGTGACTAATACTGTTGTGTCCCTTTGTGTTGGGTCCACAGGAAGCGGAGACGAGCCGTCTGGAGCAGGACAAGACTTCAGTCTGATGGATCTGGAGTCCACTGTCCATGTCCTGTGCATAGGACCAGTTAAATGCATACCTTTTGCTTTTTACAGCTTTAGATTTTGTTTAGGAAACATCTGGTGCATTTTAAAGCAGGTATACCTACATTTCAAACCGTACAAAGGAACAAAGTCTAAACAGTTAATTTGCTGTAATCCAGGGCTCCCTGAGCTTTTTAAAGTTTAAGGGCCACTGAAGTAAGACCAGGGTCTCTTGTTTGGACCGAAGTGAATTGGACATTGTGCATAAAAGGCAAAAATCTGTCTTTTTTTTTAATCCCTTGTTTGTTTAAAATCAAAACTTGTGAATATTTGAAGTAAATATCTGAATTTCACTAAGTCTAATAATAGAATGGGGATGAAGCTCTTATTGGCGGAATCTATTTTGCTTTTACTATTGCTGACTATTGCAGCCGTATGAAAGCTGCTGTACTCGTCTTCAAACCACAAATAATCAATAGTTCCTGGCTCCTAGAACAGATTAGCTTTTTCAGCCAATCAGCAGCTCTCACCCCACAGCGTCAAATAGTGACTCACATGACTCCTTATGCAATAGATAATGCATACAGGTGCACTTAATAGTCCGACTGTTTAATTAATAAAGTACCTTTCTCCTTTACTGTCCACCAGTGCATGTGTTTTTGTTGTTCAGTAGATTTCAGTCGATAGAAACCAACAGTTTTTATCAGATCATTAAGCGACACTTCCTCAGTAAACCACAGAGTGTATCTCTCTTTAGAATGGTGAGAGAGAAGCCACATCAGCATAAATACATTACATTACAGAGAAGAGAGATTAAAGCAGCTCCGCTTGTCTAAGTTTCTCCATAGCATCAACATCTGAGACATGTCACTCTCGGTCAGTCCTCTCCTAACGTACTGTACATTCTATGCCTTTGTCACATCTCGAGGCCTGTGGCCCAAACACGGGGAACTAAGTTGTTTTTGTCAATGACATAAAAACTGTACACACCTTCTCACTCATTGCTTTGTCAAACTTTTTCTCTGAGCGATCTTGGCCTTGGTTCCAATAACAGAAGAATCTGGAGTTAGAATCCTCCCCGTTTATGCGTTAAATATTCCTAAAAGCCCCCAGAGCGTGCAGAGAACCTTTGTGCAGTGAGAAGCGTATTGAAGTTAATTTGGTGGATTTGGGTAAAAGCGGTGGCATCTGTGCGGGGCTTGGATGGGGCTGGGGATCCGATGCCGCTGGGGGTGTGTGCGTGGAGCGCGGAGGTGTGCTACATAACTCATAATAAGTGAGAGACAGATGGCCAATGGTGCCTGCTCCACGTTCAGCCGGAATTCAAATGTCTCTTTGACAGAGAGACGCACGGCAATGGAACAATCGCAGAGACGCTGGCGGTTTACCGGAGTTTTCTGCGTCCCGTGGAGGAGAGCGAGTCTGACCAAAGCAGGTTCATGGCACACGTGATCACACTGTTGCAAACCGAAACTCTCGATGCGACAGATACCGACATAGTCACCGCAACCTTCATTCAGCGTGAAACATCCGTGCTCGGGCTGGGTACAACTGTACTGTGTTACAGCTTTTAATAGCTTTGAAAGAATGTAAAAGAATGGGCAATGCTAGGCTAATGTTTTGACTCACCACGTTATATGTCCGTATGTATATAATACGGAGTACACAGATGGACAATGTTAACTCCAGCTAGCTTATGTTCAAATCAGCTTCTTCTGAAAACCAGTTCCGGAAAGTGCCGATTTTTTTATTCCAACAACCAGGAGTAGACACATTGAATAAAAATTAGTCCAGTCTTGACCAAAAGACTTTATGAAATGGAACTCTGGTGTGCTCCTGCTCGGTTCAATGAAAACCGGCAGAATACTTGAGATGTGTGTGGACTCTATCAGGTCTCTCTCCAGTCCATCGCTCTGGTCTCTCTCTGGTCTTCCCGTAGCCCTCAGTCCTGCTCAGTGCAGTGTCCTCTGCAGCTGTATTTTAGATAGATAGATACTTTATTGATCCCCATAGGAGAAATTCAGGTGTCCAGTAGCAGCAAAAATTTAAATTGATTATTCCAAAAAGCTAACAATAATCAGCAACAGTCCTTCAGGTCACAGCAGCAGAGGTGGAGTAGTCGCCGGGTGGAGCAGGACGGGTCACAGCAGCAGAGATGGAGCAGCCACTGGGTGGAGCAGGACAAAGCCACTGGGTGGAGCCACTGGATGGAGCAGCCACTGGGTGGAGCAGGACAAAGCCACTGGGTGGAGCCACTGGATGGAGCAGCCACTAGGTGGAGCAGGACAAAGCCACTGGGTGGAGCCACTGGATGGAGCAGCCACTGGGTGGAGCAGGACAAAGCCACTGGGTGGAGCCACTGGATGGAGCAGCCACTAGGTGGAGCAGGACGGGTCACAGCAGCAGAGATGGATTGCTTGTTTTTTCAATGGAACAACTAATCAGTTGTAAAAATAATAGTTAATTACAGCTCTAAACACACACAACCAAAATGACGACTGAACACAGACCCAAGAAATAGTGTAAGTAATAAGTTCAGTCTAAGTCCTCGATCTGCTGCCTGACTCCTGTTTATACAGCCTCAGTCCTGGTTCTGCAGCCTCAGTCTTGGTTCAACAGCCTCAGTCCTGGATCTACAGCCTCAGTCCTGGATCTACAGCCTCAGTCCTGGTTCTACAGCCTCAGTCCTGGATCTACAGCCTCAGTCTTGGTTCAACAGCCTCAGTCCTGGATCTACAACCTCAGTCCTGGTTCTACAACCTCAGTCCTGGATCTTCAGCCTCAGTCCTGGTTCAACAGCCTCAGTCCTGGTTCTACAGCCTCAGTCCTGGTTCTACAGCCTCAGTCCTGGATCCACAGCCTGTCCGTCCCAAAGCCATGACTTGTTCGAGCTTTTTGCGTGTGTCTGGGTTTGTCACAGACACAAAATGATCTTTCGCTTATTTGTCTTCACTCCAGAACACGTAAGCACAAAACATACAAGAATGCAACTACAGGCTACCCTAACCCAACACATTATGATTAATATAGAATAAAATTTCATAATTTGATTAATGTTGATACATGAAATGAAGGCTAATAGAAGATGTGCTGCATTGTATATTCACAACAAGACCAATGGCTCCTGTGAGTTTGTTATTATTGCATCATGAACTGCTTGATTCCCTAAACTATTGTTAGCAAATCAACAACTTTGTAAAGTCCTCCCAGACAACTGCTGTGTAGGACCTTCACTGAATTCAAGATGCCCTTCAGCACAACTACTACTGAAGTCCATATGTTTGCGTTTGTGGAATCAGGACATTAGCACATTCCGCCGCAGTCGAAAGCTCATATCTCGTCTCCTCTGTCCTCATTAGAACCGCGGCTGGTGCGTCCACTGATCCCGTCATGTCATATGAGTGCGCTCTCCTGTTCCCGGCGCTGGTAAGTGGTCACTATCATCCATATCTCATAGAATTACATGTGTTTAATTCATGGATCTCCGCTAGTCTAATTGTGTTGACGTCCTAATCTATTCTGCATAATCACAAACTTTGCGCGACTGAAGAAAAAGGCACGTGCATTTTAATTGCGACGCGCACGCCGGCGTTCCCTGAGGTATAAAAATTTTAAATCGGCTAAGTAAAAAAGAAAGTTGCCTTAAACGTGGCGGAGGAGGGGTCGCGAGAGTGGAGTGGCTGAATTCCCAGTAGATGGTTTATTATTCCGTGCTAGATTGAAGCGCGGAGTGGTAGTCGGCGATGCGTCAGTGCTGCTCTTTGAAGACATTAAAAAGCTGAACGCACAACAAAGACCAGATGTTCCAACATGCTTTATTTATGCAGCCAGCAGCCTCCGCGACGGACACATGCACCGGGACGGCTGTGGCTGTGGTGGCGGGGAGAAAGGAGAGGGGAAGACAAGTACAATGTGTGTAAAACAGGAAAAAGGTTAGAGAGAGAGAGAGAGAGAGCTGTCAGGGAAAGACACAGGGAAGGGAGGCCCATTCAAACAGTTATAAATATAGAAACACACGTGGCTTTAAACATTATAATGAGACTGTTCAGTTTCCATGTGAAGTTTATGTGTATTTTGTGAAATATTATCTGCAGTACGAAAAATGTGGTGAAAGATCAAGGGTAAATAATGTTATCAGCCTGCTCTAGCCCCACGCTACGACCAGAATGGTGGAGAATTTGATTTGTTTTTTTTTTCCTCCAAATTTCCAAATGACCGGCTGCAACATGTGATTGCAAAGGTCGTCATTTCACTAGAGAAAATATCAAAACTACAGCTACATTTTAAAAGAAAGTAAATGTTGTCCACATACTGTATTGACCAGATGCATCGACGTCATCCAGTCACGTGATTGTGCATGAGCTTTTAGCGGAAGTAGTGGAAACTAGCATTGCGGCAAGAGCAAAACTGGACTACAACTCTTAAAAACGGAGACTCCTCTCCTAAATCGAGAAGTGCTGGCTCACAAAGTGCGGTATTTGGAGAAGTTAAGGATCTCCGAAATAGGCGTGAAATGAAATGAAATGAAATGAAATGATCTTTATCATTATGCCGTTAACAATGCATCCCCTTACACTGGAGCAGAATGGAGTTTTTACTGGTCCTGGCTCCTCTTCCTATGACACGACTATAAAAAATATCTTTGATTGCCAAGTGTCAAATTTGATAAACACATATGCAACACACTCCTCATCTCAGTGTGATTTACCTATGATTAAACTATCGATAGGCATATTGGCCAAAATGGAATCTGTGGAAAATTAACTTCACAGAGACGGGATCGTTGCGCACCGTTGCCTGGAAGTTTATTCAGTTTCCTTCAGGTTTCAGTTTTTTCAGATTATCCAGACAGAACAAAGTCAGGACATGATATATATACTCATTTGTTACGTCACAGATATGTCACACCTAGAAAGTCATACGTGTCGCATTAGAGACATTCTGAACATATTAGAGTGGATACACAATGGAGTCTTTGTGACTGTGAGGGCCAGATATTTTGTCTTGCGTTTGTTCACCTGCGTAGACCTAGTTATCTATCCACCATAAAGCCTAGACTCCTTTAATGACATAGTTCCACGCCAATGGAGCAATGCTAGACCGAACTTCCCGCTGGAAAAGGATGGAGGCGGGGCTTAAGTTCTCCTCCCCCTCTCCACACAGTCAGCACTAGATCATTTACGGAATCGGGACGGAAGCAGAAGTAAAAATAACAAACTACCTATTCATGCCTAAACTTAACCAGCCATTCCCATAAAATAACCCAAACCCGCCCTTAACCCTAACCATAACCATCTTACTCAGACACCTAAAACCTAACCAGTCACCACTTAAGGACTTATTAGTCTAAAACTAATTTGAAAGTAGGATTGTTACTTCCTAGTCTAGTGCCGACCCTCTCCACACTCTTTTAGAACTTTGCATAAAACATCAGTATCCTTAGACCCTCCAGGATCGCAATGAACCACTGGGAAAAGCTGAGAAACCTCGAGGAGGCCCATATTGAGAGAGGGATCTGCTTCTACCGAGGGACAGGCTGTAGATCCAGGAATGAGGCTGTAGATCCAGGAATGAGGCTGTAGATCCAGGAATGAGGCTGTAGATCCAGGAATGAGGCTGTAGATCCAGGAATGAGGCTGTAGATCCAACACCCAGGCTGTAGAATGAGAACTTAGGTTATTGGCATAAAACTATCACTTAACCATTAACAGATGTCCATCCACCAACAAATGCATTTTAAAATCATACAAACCTGTCATCACCAGGCTGCGCTGTGATAAACACATTGATAAACTATGATAATTCCAACATTAGCCCGTTCCCCGTCGCACCTGTCTCCACTGCACATCGCGGCCAGGCCCATACCTGCGTCCAAAACACATCTTCAAACACAGATTGGGAAAAGGAGGGTGGATTTCCGCGGAGGGAGGAGCTGCTCAAACAAAGAGGGTCCAAATTGACGTCCTGGCGATAAAAAACTATTAGCCGCGGAGCCGACAGATGCTGACGCGCTTGTCTCCTTTGCAGGGATTATTTATTTACTCCTCTCCATCACGCAGCCCCAGATGCCGGCGCGGGCGTGTGGGGGATTCAGTTAGCGGCTAATAGAGCTAGCCGCGGCACCGTCTTGTAAGGGTCAAGCGGGGTCGAATCGTTGCTTTGTTGTGGAGTGAGTAAAATAGCTTTGGTGCGTTGCCAGATCTATACCTGCTTGTTGGAACTCCCCCCCTCCCTTTCCCAATGTATCTCCAGCCGCCGTGAGCTTCCTAATCGCCGGCGTGCTAATAGGCCCGCGCGCATCTGTCACTTAGAGCCAAATTGCTTTGTTTAAAAAAAGAAAAGAGAAATCAGAATGGCAGAATGTAGGCAATCTTGCGAGGATTGTTGGGGAAAGCTGTGGAGGGAGCTGGGTCAGCCATGTGGATTTGCGGTGGTCCACGGCAAATCAGCAAATCACAAATGCTTTCCTCTGGCTCATGTTGAGGAGAACATGGAAATGGAAAGATCCTAACCACATATTTCCCACCACTGAAAATATTGTGTAGGCCTATACAAGAAAAAAAAATGTTTTATTGTTGAGGATTAAACATGATTTGTTTTAGTGTGTGATAGAATTCTAAGGGTGTATTCAGACCTGCACATTTGCTCCACTTTAAACGGACCAGGATTCGTTTGGAACTCTGATCCGAAGCTTTTATGCAGGTCTGAATACACACAAACGAATCCTGGTCCGGACCAAAGAACCGAACCGAGACCCACTTTTTTAGGTGGTCTTGGTCCGCTTCCAAACAAATTCTGGTCCAAGTCGAATCAGGTCTGAATACATCCGGTGTCGATCCGACACAACTCCAAGATACGTGTGCATTTTTTGGGCATTTCTATGCTGCTAACGCTACACAACAACAATGAGCCGTGTGCAGACCTGGAGCAGTGAGGAGACGCTGTGCAACAGGCTTATGGAGTTACAACTGTTCACAGTTTACAGTGATGTTAATGGCAGCATCGTCAAACCATTTGCATTATTAAAAACCTGACACTGTTTGACTCACGTCTCAAAGAGCAATATTCCGCATCATGCAGTGAATTGTGTTCTTTGGTTCCTACCTGATCCTCAGCGTCTGTTTCTCCCGTGGTTATTATAGATCCATGGTTTATCCACAATGCTGAACAGGGCCGTTATTATAATAGATCCGTGTGTGGGACAGGGCACGGAGACAGACAGTCTCCTTTGGCTTTCTCCTCACGCATTCTCCGATGCTGTTCCAATAGTTAAAACAGTGCGTTTGGCATGTGTCATATGAGCTGCTGCTGTTGATGTTGAAGGTGGTTTTGGTCTAAAAAGAGCAAACAGAGGCAGAGCAGACATGCTGCATATACGAGCCCTCAATGTTTTCTGCCGGTTCCGCGTCTATCCTCCGTGAGCTCTCGCTGTCCAATAGGAGCGGATCGTCACATGTTTATATAAAAAAGTTCACTTGCAAAAAGGACTGAGTCTGAATACGAACCAGAGCAAAAGGTCCGCTTTTGATTCGGATCAAGCAAGAGGACCAAAGGAGTTTTCAGGTCTGAATACACCCTAAGATAGAATGGACTGTATATAGATGGACAGAGGAAACCTGCTAGCTCAATGAAGCCCAATAGGGACACATTGGCCTTGCTCCGGCTCAAATTGACTCAAAATTGACTTATATGTAAAAGTAAACTCCTCTAGCCCAGTCACCGTCTGTGTCACGCTCACCATTTTGGGCTTAATAATACACGGTTTAGCGCTCTCTGTAATCCTGGTGTTTAAATTGTGATATTGGCCCTCATGTACGAAAGTTGCGCAGAAAAGAGTGTATATTTTGGGTGTGTATTCCATTAACACAAGATCCAATGTCGGATTTATGAACGTGTAAGATACGCCCAGATCTGAGCGAATGCACCTGCGGCTGTTCATACGTAAATCCCGCGGCTGAAAACGAACTTATTAGAATTATGCAGCAATCGCCTGTAAAACGCCCCGTTTTTGCGACAGGTCAGCACAGAAGCCGGCCAAAAAGATTGTTTGGAATATATATATTCAGCTGCGTTTTGAACAAATTTGCTTTTTTTTTGATAAATTAGAAAAATCTTTCTTGAATTGTAGAAGTGAATTAATACAGAAAGAATGAATGAATGAATTCATATATGGATAACTGACTTCCTGATGGACAGGAAGCAGCGAGTGCGTCTGGGGAAGAATGTCTCGGACTCTCGGATTATAAATACAGGAGCCCCACAGGGCTGTGTTCTTTCTCCCCTGCTCTTCTCCCTGTACACCAACCACTGCACCTCCAGCCACGACTCCGTGAAGCTGATCAAGTTCGCGGACGACACCACCCTCATTGGACTCATCTCCAACAACGATGAGTCCACCTACAGGAGGGAGGTGGACCGGCTGGTGTCCTGGTGTCTCCTACAGGAGGGAGGTGGACCGGCTGGTGTCCTGGTGTCTCCTACAGGAGGGAGGTGGACCGGCTGGTGTCCTGGTGTCTCCTACAGGAGGGAGGTGGACCGGCTGGTGTCCTGGTGCAGTGGTAACAACCTGGAGCTGAACGCCCAGAAGACAGTGGAGATGATTGTGGACTTCAGGAAGAGCACTGTCCCCCCGCCTCCACCCTCCGTGATGGACTCCCCCATCACCTCTGTGGAGTCCTTCCGTTTCCTGGGCACCACCATCACCAGGACCTCAAGTGGGAGCCGACCATCAGCTCCTCATCAAGAAGGCCCAGCAGAGGATGTACTTCCTGCGGCAGCTCAGGAAAGCCAAGCTGCCTGCACAGATGTTGGTGCAGTTCTACACGGCCATCATCGAGTCCATCCTCACCTCCTCCATCACCTCCTCATCACCTCCTCCATCACCTCCTCCATCACCTCCTCCATCACCTCCTCCGTCACCTCCTCCGTCACCTCCTCCGTCACCTCCTCCGTCACCTCCTCCGTCACCTCCTCCGTCACCTCCTCCATCACCGTGTGGTTCGCTGGAGCCACAGTCAGGGACAAACAGAGACTACAGCGCATTGTGCGCTCTGCAGAGGAAGTGATCGGCCGCAGCCTTCCATCGCTGCAGGACCTGTACGTCGCCCGAGCTCGAGGCCGGGCTGGTCGTATCACAGCCGACCCCTCTCACCTGCACATGGACTATTCCAACCACTCCCCTCAGGCAGGAGACTGCGGTCCATCAGGACTAGAACCTCCCGCCACAAGAACAGTTTCTTCCCCTCTGCTGTTGGACTCTTGAACACTTCTTAACCTGTCCCCCCGCCCTTTATAAAGTCACTTTACTGCCCATCATACGTCACTTTACTTCACTGTACTGCTGTCACCTTACATTGTGTGCACCATGTGCACTTGTATATTGTAAATAGTAACTGTAACTCTATTCTAAATTTAAATTTATTCCTTAGAAGTGTTTTTTATTCTTTATTTTTTATTATCTCTTTCTGACTGTTGCACTGAGCCAAAGCAATTTCCAAGTCTGTGACTTCCTGTTACTTACGTGGCAATAAAAATGATTCTGATTCTGATTCTGATCGATTGTGCAGCGGTGGCTCTCATCGATGAATTGTCTGCAGCGTCTTGTGAATGCACTGAAGCGCTGTATAGAGAGAGCGTTTGCGGTCCAGATTTTACAGAGAAACTCTGGAGCCAAAACTTCTGAATGACAGCATTTGAGGAGTTTTGTGGCACGTCTCTCATGGCACCTGCTGTGGATGCACTCCCAAGAGTGTGCAGCGGGTGGACAGGGCAGTGAGACATTTGGAGTGAGCAATGCCATAGTCCATCGGTCCATGCGTTAATGGTGTGTGTCTGTGTGAGGCTCACACACATCTAACGAAAACATACATTGCCTTACCAGATGTGAGGAATACAAATAGCCGTCCGTACTTACGCAGCGCAGAGCCTGCCACAGCAATAGCTGGATCACACATCCCTGTCGCGTAAAGTGTATTTGTATAGAGCCTTTCACTGTCCAGGATCACAAAGCGCTTCACATTTTAAAAACATACAGATCAAAATAATACACACACAAGTCAGATTTAAAATCATAGAAACAGAAGAGGCTCCTCATCATGATCTGTGATTTATTCAAAGTTTGCGTGTTTCCAGAGTGTTGGACTTTTTCTGATGATGAAAAACATCTGAAACATGATGCTCCATGAAAACACAGCTTATAATGTTGCCAGAGGGAACATGTTTATTGTTGTCCAAATCTTGCATTTCATGCGTGTTTTGGCGTGTTGTGACGAAGGTTGAAATGAGCGTACACATTTACACCACCTATTGACTTGGTGTAAATTCTGTGCGTACCGTACGCTCACGTCCAGATTAGGGATGTAAATCGGTGACCGTTTAACCGGTGGTTGACCGTCACAGCGTTAACCGTCACGGCGTTAACCGCTCAAAGCTGTCGGTTAAAAAAAGAGAAAAAGGGGAGAGGGGAGGTCTCTTCATAACGCTATTTTAAGCCCTATTCGCACGGTGTGACGAGCGGGTCTGTATCTGGCTGTGTGCGCCAATGTATCAGTAAACTCCGGGCCGACTCTCACGCCGCACGCGCCACATATGCACACATACACACACACATGCACACGCACGCACAGACACACACACACACACACTTTCCCCCCTCCATTGATACGTAACATCCACACGCATCATCTCTCCCCTCTGTTACCGCCTGCTAGTTGCACACTGGTGCGGGTCAGAACTACATTGGAGCTTATATTTACACACACATACACGCACATGTATTGTACACACATACATACACATACATGTATTGTATACACATACATGTATTGTACACGCATAACGGTCTGTCGCGCTCCTCTGTGTCACGGAGCCCAAAGGATCCTCGCAACTACGTGGCTCCAGTCAAACCACATGAAACATGTTTGTGCTGCTGGTCCTTGTCAGTAGATCAGCTCCACACATCACTTTTAAACTTTAGCGGAGACCTGTGAGTTGCTCTGACCATGTGAACGAGCCGTCTTTTGCTTAAGAATGCTTTAACCCGCAGCACAGCAGAATGGGAAGATTAAAACAGCAGTTCTCTGTGCGCAAAGGTGCCGAAGCTGTTGCAGGTTTTTGCGCCGCTGTCTCGGCTCTGATCCAGAACGCAGAGCTGCCCTTATGGAAAGTACGCGGATCAAAATGGTTGTTATTTCAAAGAACGTGGACTATTTTAAACTACACGGGTTAACCGGTTTCAATCATGGTGGTCAGTCATGAAAATTCATAGTTTTTTACATCCCTAGTCCAGATAGATGAATGCGGAAAAGTGTAAATATTTTGCGTACGCCTCATTTACACCCTGATACGTTGTACGCAAGTTTCATACATGAGGCCCATAGTCTTTGTAAATCCAGATATGAGCTCAAACAACAGACGGGTTCAGCAAGACTAGAGTAACACAAGAACCTTTTATTTTTGGGCCTTAAACATTAACTTGAGAATTTTTCCA